CCTAACATGACAGAGCTGCAAGCCATCTAGTTGTCATAGGATTACATTTTCTGTGCTTACATTGAAAATGTATCTATAAAGGATTCAAATATTTGTTTCTGTTGTAAAAATCTAAATTACTCAAGGCTAACTGGATTAGTGGGCAGCATTGTTTGTTGCTTAGTCCAAATTCTAAGTCATCTAAGAGTTAGGAGGTTTAGTGGGCGGTGCGGTATCCGTTTAGAGAAGTCTTAATATGTGACGGATAACTTAGTGGGTAGTTTGGTATTTGCTTAGGCTCATTAAGTAATAGAGTTATTACTTAGTTGTGAGATTAATAATTTTTCCTCACTTTGGTTGTAACTGTGTTTCACTTTTCCTTGTAGAGATTAGTGGAAACAGTTGAAAATCTTCTGTGACAGATCTTGGTTTTACTCTCTTGTGCAAGAAGGTTTCCACGTAAACTGCTTGTGTTGTGTTGTCCTTATTATTTACTCTCCTGCACTATTCTTGTTGTGTCCATTGACTGATAGTGAACGCATGCATTCTACGAATCATAAACTTAGATTTTAAATTAATAGTGTAACTAGCCTCTTGAGATTGTTGTTACTTTCAACTGCTGGAGATGTGTACATGAAATGTAAATAGTACTACTGATCACATTTTTTTTCTTTCTGTGTTTTAAATGGCAGTATGTAATCAATTGTTGAACGATACAATAATAGGAAAGTCGAATATCAGCAATTGCACAACCCAGTATCAGAACTTAAGGTATGCAACACTTATAAGTTCAACTCTTACATATTACTTTCAGCTCGATCCATAAATATGTATACAAGAAAATACATGTACAGTTTAAACAAGATCATTCTAAAGTCAGGGACTAGATTAGCAGTCCACACATCCAATGTGCTGAATAAATCATAGTAACAGACTTAATTCCCTGTAGAAATCGATAGAGCGTCTTCGATCAGCTCAGAAACAAGTATAGATAAAACATAAAAGAGGGATCTGAAAAAGGATAGATAACAAGTATATATTCCAATTTATGTTCAACTCAATCAGGGGAGTCTAATGTATCAACAAAATTTGGAACTAACTCTTGGTAAGTCTGTCTCCTTAGTTTACAATCTACAACACAATATTTGTTTCTTTTATACATTTGATTTAACTTCAGAATGTCTGTTCGTATCGTATGATGAATGTTTTCCATGAGGAAGTGTCAATTCTGGTGTTTTGTTACAATAGAATACTATCCAGCTTTTGTGCAATCGATCAATATGCCAAAAAAATATCATTATTAACTTATCTAACGCGTTAACTGTTTTTTTTACCTTTTACAGGTGAAATTCAATGCCAAAAATAAAGGGAAATGACTTATAGGTTTGAACGAATCAGCAACATAACAGAAAAGTCCAACAAATTAAAGGCTATATGATTAATGTTGCGTTGCACTGTTGTTGTCAGGGCTCATGTAGTAACAAAGTGAGCTCATATTATACATTATCTAAATATTATATATCACCATCGATACAAACTATACTCTAATTTATGATGAAAATTTTGGTGACTTATATATGTGACACAAAATCTCAGACACAAACTTAAAATGTGATGTTATTTAATTTGTATATTTAACAAGTTTTGACATGTATTCCGACTCTGCCACTCATCTTACCAGTTCAAAAACTTGAGTTTCACATATATAAATACATAAAAAGATTTAAAAAAATATCTTCGGCAAAAAATCACCAAACTAATTTGCCTCATGTCAATACTATCAATAACTATGAATCTTGCTTTTTTCAAATATAAGAAATTCGTTATATTAAGAGATGTGCTTGGAATGAAAAGCAGATTTTTAATTATCATACACTTCTATTTACTTTTGTGAGATGTGACTTTAAAAATCAATAAGGAAAAACTTAGAGTAAAAGCGACTACTGAATAATGTGGCCAAAACAACCATTATTTTGTTGTTATAATTACTCCAACTAATTTTTATGATAATGATGAAGAAACTATTCTCAGACATTTTCGTATACATACAATGAGCTATTATTATATCTAAAACAATTCACTAAGCTCATTATTAGGTAGTTAACTATTTTGTATGAAACCTAATGATAATTAATTAAACGTGATAATGATTTTAACATTTTTCGTTAATTATTATGGGTAAAAATTGTTTTTTGATAGTGATAGTCAAATTATTACATACATGTTTTCACATTATATTGTTTTCTAGAATGTTTGCTTGCACGTGACAGTAGGCTAGTTTCTGGAATGCTTTCCAAATTTTATACTTTTACTAATTGAAACACTAAAAAAAAATAGTCCTGAATAAAAATATTAAATATTTTATAAAATATTTCAATAATAACAGTTGATGATTTTCTTTTATTAAATTATTTTAAAATAAATTATGTTTGTCACTATTATTTCCGGCGGAGGGATAACACTAGTTAAAATGGACTTCTTTTTTTTAATTATCATTATCTGAAGTCAAAATGAATTACATTCCACACTTCACAAATTGTAGCTCCTGATTTATGTACCTAACCTCACAATTTATAAATTCTGAACTCATAATTTTAAAATATATCAAACATAATTAGAAGTATTTGATTTATCATTCAACTAATGATCTCTGAATTCTAGATCTACAATTGATGCTGCTTATGATTCGAATAAAAATTAGCTCAGCAGAAAAAAAAAATTCAGATTCATATAAGAAAATCGCCGTCCATTTCTAATAAATGTGATACTTTTATCCACTCTGACAGAAACTCGAAAAGGAAAAGAAGATGTAGATTCAGCCAAAGCTTGCATTATATTGTTGAAGGATACTATACACATACTAATTAATTTTATGCTCACTTGAGTTTAAAAAAAAAAAAGAAACTGCATTTATTTCTGTACATTAATTCTGTAAACTTGATGATGACGTGGAGGAGGATAATCATCAGTTTTACATCCTTCATCGAAGTTCTGCGAGTAACTAACTGCATCATAATGAAATGTTAAAGTCTTCTTTCCGTACACATTCTTCCCTTCATTCACCAATTTCTTCAACAATCTTCTCCACGTTCTCCGGCAGCTGCTATCTCGCCGGCGACACTCATTTATGCGCGAGTATTCGTCGTGCACCGGAATACACGATGGCGACATACAGCTGTAAAATTGAGACGCCGGCCGGCGGTAAATCGAATCAGTCGTCCCCATGGATTAAAAGAGAGTTGGATGAAAGTTTGTTTTGGAGTTTCTCTCTCACTATAATGTGTTTGTGGAGTGAGGGTAGTGGGATAGAATATGTAGTACATGTTTGCAACTGGTAGCAAATTTATCCGCACCACTTTTACGTGGGCCTAACGAATTTCCCTCTTTCATTGTTTGCGTTATAACTGTGTCATATAACTTGGTCTCATTCAATATTTATCGTTATTCAATTTTAAAGGTAAATTAAATTTGTATAGAGCTAAATAAATATATATATATATACATGTGCCTATTTATTTAATTTACATAAATTTACGTTAAATGACATATTATTAAAGTGGAGAACACACTTTTATTATTAAATAATTGTATTTAGGCATGTAGACTTAACTTTTTTCAAAAATTTTGATATAAGTTACAGTGGTATTTGATTTCAAAACCTTTGTCTGATTCTATGAGGAAAATTAATTATGTCTCAACACATATTTACGATTTCATAGTTTCATTACCAAAAAAAAAAGGAAAATGAGAATTTTAAGCAGATAATTAAAATTGAAGTTTGGTTATATTTTAGAGTTGTGTCAATTCAGAACTTATTGTATATCTGAATGGATGTGTAACTAACTGCACAAATCACAATTATGCTGGCCGATTTATGGTTATAATAGATCTAGCACATGTTAATAATTGACACCAACTATAGATTATAATTGATTTACACATTGAATTATTTAGAAACTCTTAATTTGTCACGTACAATTGCTGTTATGGTTCTAAGAGTTGATTAGTGAGATTTACGAGTATCATTAAACATTCATGTGTGTGATTTCACCAACTAAAGCATCGTATATGCTGTATAGACCAATCACCAATAAACATAAATAATGTGTGGCAAATTTTGGTGTTGTCTTTGTTACTATTTATTATTTTAATTAATATAAATAAATAATACCTATTACAGATATTCAAGTGGTCCTGGGCACTAATAATTATTAATCATCCCAACCTCGAGTTATTTGCGTTCTTTTTTTCTTTTAATAGAAAAGCTAAGGATTTTGATGAAATAAAAATTAATTAAATTATGCTTATTTCTAAAATTTTGGCTATTCGATATTTGATTTGACATAAAGTTTCACTTAAAAGATAAAACATTTCCTATCATGTACCGTTAATATTATTTTCAAGACTCAAACTTAGATCTTAATTTGTTGGTTTGCTATTAGTTGGGTCTGTTCTAGTTTATGGTAATTATATGTTTACGGGAAAAATCATTTCTAGTTGAGAAATTTATAGTCCTTAGTTTTATGAGCGACAAGTTTATGGCTTTTTATTATTTTGTCATCTCCTTAATTTTATAGTAGTAGCTAGTAAGTATGATTTAATGCTCAAAAATACATTTAAATTATTTATTTTCACGAATTTCATATTCTAATTGTCAGTTTTTTTCTTTACTTGAACTATCATAACTTATATGTTAAAACATACTTCAACGTAACAATCAGTTTGTTCCATTTCCCTACATGAACAATTGTGATAGTTCATGAAGAAACACTGAACAATTGATAGTTAAAGTGTATATTAATATATTGATTTTTCTTGATATATAGTTCAAATAAAAATACAAAATACTTAATAGTTAAATACTAAACTCACAAAAAAATAATTCAAACGTGTGCTTGATTATTGTCGTTTAGTTGGGAACAAGTTATCCCAACATAAGTTATTCTGCAATATTAGAATAACTTATTCCATCATGCATATGAGATTACTTCTCTCATCACTTTGATATAAATAGTGAGATAAATTATCTCAACATGACAACCAAACAAGATACAAAAATTTTATCCCATTATTATTTTCTCATCCTATTACTATTTATTTCTATCTTCTTGCGCCAAACGATTATTGTACTGATTCTACTAAATATTCAATAAGTAAGATGAATTAATGATGCCAGACCATAATAGCTTTAAAATAATTTCAACCTCAGCTGACCTACTTATACGCACTGTTTGAACTTTTGATGGACAAGCTTTTTCCATTGTCCTAAATCTCTTGGCTTAAAAGTGCACAAAATTTAATGAACGAGCTGGCCATATCAATCTTTATGTAGCCTATTAAGTAAAAAGGCAACTAAATTTTATTTTTAAAAAAAAAAAACTAGTACCATGTACTATGATTTAAAGTAACATTGCTAATGCCTAATTTGGTGCAATTTCTAATTGGTTGTTGGATCATTAGGTCTCATAATAACAATAAATTCTCGTTATTTGCCTGATTTTATAAAAATTTGACCTACATTAGGTTTATTATACAGAGATATAATTATATCCTGATCACACCATAAATTACAAAATACTTTATCGTGTTACAACAAATTGAACTTGCTCTATGTTATATATAATTTACACTATGATCTCTCTCTTATTGGGTGTATTTTGTTTTTTTGATTGATGTTCTAAATTAGTAAATTAAGTCATGTGAACTTTGTTAGAAGAAAACCAAAGGAATTTTGCCAGCCCATACCCACCGATAACTTTGGTAGGGACTTTGGCATTCTTGTCGTTACTTTGTCACCTTTCCATTGCCAGAGATGTTTGTCACCCTATGCCACCAAAAAAAAAAAGTGAACCAAATTTTTTTTTTGGTAAGTTATCTATTTAATCGATGGACCATAAATAATTATATTCACTAAGTAAATATATTTGGTATAATATAATATTACTCTTTTAATATCAATATATGATTTTTAATTTATTTAGAAAAGAATATTGACATTTATTTTAGTAATAATTTAATTTTAAAATATTTATTTATGAAGTGATTTTTTGTCACGATTCAAATCATTGTAATTGGCATCCATTCTAGCACTCTGATGGGAGAATCAGTATTACCATCCAACTAAAGCAAATAATATAGAATTAAGGTATTTAAGTTACGAAAGCAAGTTAAATAAACTAAAAAATGCGAAAAATATGCTTAGAACCTGAAAGTTAATGTACCAAAACTAGAAATGAGAATCAAATCTAACAAAAAATTCTCGTGAATTATTCAACTAACTAAAACAAAGTCTAGGTCTGAAAATGGTGGGCATAGACTAATGAGAATTGGCAGCCCAGACGATGTGGTTCACCCTTAAACTCGAAGCGATCACCGATCTCCTAAGCGAGGCCTGTCAACAGTCGCGTGAAAATGCTCAGTACTCAATAAAAATAAGAACAAGTGCAGAATGAGTACACAATCATCGTGTACTGGTAGAATCATGCGATTATCCCACTAGTTTAACATAAACAAGCAATTACAACATTATAACACATGCATAAATATCAACATATTCCATACTATCATAAGAATCAACATCACAAGTCACATGTTTCATCACATAGTTGATCCTATCATGGTTTCCAAAGTCAAATTATTAACATGGCGGAGCGTGGCAATCAAACCCAACTTTTATGTCGTAATATGGTAACCGATCCCAGTTAACATGCTAAAACATGGCAATTCGATCTAAGTTAGTGTGCTGGAATGTGGCAGACGATCTCAATTGCACATCACAATAAGACATCAACGTCACCCAATCAATCATGATTTCATGATATCGATATTTATATATCTCTTTTCAACATCTATGATCAATATTGCAACATGCATACATATACAAGTACATAACGAAGCAAACCAAGTGTATATCACACAATCATAGAATCACAATCATCACCTACCTCGAATACAAGCTTGAATCCCCTAAAGCACTTGAATATTCTCTTCCCGAATTCTTTCCGCTTGTTTAGGTCCACCACAATCAATATACGCAAGGATCAACAATCAAAGGTCTAATCACTACTAAAAAACACTGCATTCAGAAATGAACATCGTTAGTAGTTTGTTGCTATTTTGCTCGTTGCTAACAAAAATCAGTCGCTTATTCGTCACTAAGTGGGTTTAGCAACAGAATTTGTTGTTTAGCTACAAAATTCTTCTGTCGTTAAATCCAATTTTTTTATTTATGAATTATTCGGATTATAACTAACCCAATAACCCTAGACCAATCTGAAGATTCTAATACCCAAAAATTAGAGTTTTTTCCACCATAATTCTTAGATCAAAACCCTTCCCCATCGATAATAACCAAAGAGAATAGGTTCTACGGATCGAAAACAGGTTTAGGGGATAAAAATCTTACCTTTAGCCTCAAAAATGATGAAAAACTATTAAGAACTCGTTTGGGTCGCCTCCTTAGCTCTAAATGTTAACAAATACCAAATAAGATCGTTTTAGGGTTTATAATCGACTTTATAACGCGTCTGGCCTGCTCCGGGGACCCATCCTGCTGCAGCGGCACCGCTCTAGCAGCCCCAACAGAGGCAGAATGTATCCCTTCACGAAAATATCATTTTCGAGAGTTCTACTCGTCCAAATTTGATTCCGTAAAGTGGCATGAGTTCGTTATCGTCTTATCTATCTACTTATGTAATAAAATTCACAATTAGATCTATTATTCATTACAAGATTTTCCCCTACAACTTAATTATTCCGATAATCTTCCAAATGTGGACTAGGTTGGGTAATTCCAAATTACTACGAAAGAGTTTTCTGGCCTCAATTCTTTCTTCATTGACTTTTCCGTAACGACGGAATCAAGTCATTACACTTCTAGTTACACATATATTTATAACTTATGTTAGACTATAATTTTCTAAAAAAATAAACACTTCATGAGAAATCAAACTACATAAATTGAGACAGAAGGAGTATCTATAATATATATTACCTCCGTTTAAATTTGTTTTTCCTACTTCTTTTAGTCTATATAAAAAAGTAATTTCGTTTCCTTTTTTTAGTAACACGTTAATTTCAACATTTCACATAACATATTCAAAATCACAAAATTAAATGATATTTTGATATATTTTTAATTTAAAATCATGAAATTAAAATATCTTCATTAATATTTTTTAAGTTCATATCAAATTAAAATAGAACAAATAAATTAAAATGTCTTCTTTGATCAGTCAAAAAAAAAGAATGTTACATTTTCTTATATGATAGATATTTAAAGGCATAATTCTTCTTTTTATCCTTTTTGGTAATTTTTAAAATTTTACTC